ACTTCATCAAATTGAAAGTATTTTTTGACACTTAAAAGACACTCCCTTAAAAAAAAAAAAAACCTATAGATAGGGAGAAAACTTGGCAAATCATATGTGTGATAAAGTACTTGTACTCAGAATCCATTAAGAAATCTGAAAACTCAATAATTAAAAGCACAAATAAGCTGGGCATGGTGGCATATGCCTGTAATCCCAGTGGCTCAGGAGGCTGAGGCAGGAGGATCATAAATTCAAAGCCAGCCTCAGCAACTTAGCAAGGTCCTGAGCAACTTAGCAAGACTTTGTTACAAAATTAAAAAAATAAATAAATAAAAAATATTGGGAATGTAGCTCAGTGGTTAAGCACCCCTGGGTTCAATCCCTGGTACCAAAAAAAAAAACCCAAAACAAAACTTCAATTTAAAAATAAACAAAGCACCTGAATAGACATTTATCCAATGAAGATACAATAGCCAATAAGTACAAGAAAAGATACTCAACATCATTAGCCATCAAGGCAAAAAACAAATCAAAACCACAACGGAATACTGCTTCACACCCACTAAGAACAGTATTATTAAACACACGGGAAACAAGTGTTGGTGAGGGGTAAAGAAACTGGAACTAATGCACTGCTGGTGGGGATACAAAATGATATACCATTTTTAAATATTTATTTTTTAGTTGTAGGTGGACACAATACCTTTATTTTATTTTTATGTGGTGCTGAGGATGAAACCCAGTGCCTCATGCATGCTAGGCGAGCACTTTCCTCTGAGCCACAACCCCAGCCCCATGAGACACGATTTTGGAAAACAGTTCTGGTGGTTCTTCAAAATGTTAAAACAGGGTAGCCACTTGTAAATTGCAAGCCTGAAGGATATAACCCAGAGAAATAAAAACATGTCCATAAACAGCAGTAGTTATAATAACCAAAGCAAGGAAACAACCCAAAATGTCCATCAATTGACAAGTGGAAAATGAAATGTGGTACAGGCATACAATGGAATATTATTTGGCAATAAAAAAAATAAGTGTTACATGCTACATTGAAAGCATCATGCTAAGTGAAGACAGTCAGCCATAAAGAATCATATATGATATGATTTCATTTACACAAAATTCCCAGAATAGGCATATCCACAGAGACAGCATACAGATTAGTTGTTGCCTAGGGTGGGGAGGACAGGAAAAGTGGGTTTAGGGTTTCTCTTGGGGGTGATGAAAATGTTCTAAAGTTGTAGTGACAGTTGCACAATTTTATGAATATACTAAAAACCACTGAATTAGACTCTTTAAATAAGTGTATTGTAAGGTATATAAATTGTCTCACTAAAACTGTTATTTTTTTAAAGTAGGGCTGTCCTCCAAATGGAAAGTGATACTCACTGGAAATAATGGCAAGCAAAGGCAACCACCCAGGCTAGGGATGCAGCTCAGTGGCAGCGCACTTGCCTAGCATGTGCAAAGCTCTGGGATGGCTCCCCAGCACCACAAAAAGAAAGGAAAAACAAAAAGACAAACAGTCTTCTGTTGGAGAAGTTTCTACAAAAGATATAATTCAGTCAGTGGTTGCCAATTAACAGTTCACAGACTAGAACATAAAAACAGTCAAGAAGGGTTGGGGTGTGGCTCAGCCGTAGAGTGCTTGCCCAGCCTGTGTGAGGCCCTGGGTTTGATCCTTAGCCCCACATAAAAATAAATAAATAAAATAAAGGTATTGTGTTCAACTACAACTAAAAAATAAATATTCAAAAAAAATAGCCAAAAAAATTTAATAGTCCTTGGATTTCCAAAGGATCTAATTCCAGGTCCAGTGGAGTCCAGGAAGATTTATTTTAACAGGCTTCCCAAGTTATTCCAATATACGTCCAGAATAAGGAATCAATGAACCACTAAGCCCTTATTCTATGATTTTTTGATTCTCTGGTGGCTATGAGGCATTATCTCTACATTAGGTATTTGTCTAGTGTTTTACATTCATCTGAAAATCTTGAGTTCCTCAGTGGAACTTGATAATGATTCTGAGTTTAGAAAGAGGTGACTTCATTCAACATCGCAACCCTGCACATATTTCTATAAACCTTATGTATGCCTTTTACTTATAATATTTCAAATCCTCTTCCTTTTTTTTTTCTTTTTTTTTCCCAGGGAGAAACAGCAGGTTTAAACAAATTGGTCTATACAAGAGATCACATATATTCTCTAAAACTATATTTCTCACAGTGGGCCACACTGGAGAATCCATTTTTTTCTCAAATATTTATAATTTAATAGCATATTTTACATTTAAAAAATCCAGGTAGGGGCTGGGGTTGTGGCTCAGTGGTACAGCACTCGCCCAGCATGTGTGAGGCACTGGATTCAATTCTCAGCACAACATATAAATAAGTGAATAAAATAAAGGTCCATCAATGTCTACAAAAAAATTTTAAATGCAGGTAAAATATCGTATTATTATTAATAAATATTTCAGAATCAAATGCAAATTTTCATGGATTTTCAAGATAAAATCCAGACACTTCAAGGAAATCCTATATTTGCCACAGAACTACTTGGGACGACACTCCCAGATTCTAAGGGTCATATTCATTCCCTTCTGCAATGTGTAGTTCAGTAGAAATGTCTAAGGCCTTCTATTTCCCTCTCCATGGGTGATGAAATATGTAATCCCTCTTTATTCAGAACCATATGTAGAAAAGCAGGTTATCAGTCACTGTGCTGAGAGCACTTCAAGAAAAGGAGGAAAGTATGAACTAAATCCAAGAATTAAACCATAATTGTTGAGAGTTGAATGAACAGTCTCTTCCAAGGTGAGCTGTGCTCAGGTAGTGTCTGCTGGGGAGGAGGCCTAATGGTTAAACCTGTCATGGCATTTTAACCTGACAGATATCAAGAGTAACTTCCCAGGCTATTTGGACATCACCCAGCTAGCGGGGGTGTACTTTGCTTGCTTATCCAGGCCTGCCCAGCCCACTGACCCACAAAGAAGCCTTAAGTAATCCTACCTCAGGCCTTAGACTAACTATCACTAAAGAGTAAGTGTTTCCCTACATTTACAATCTGTCTCTTGATCCAGTGCTCTGATTTTTCAGCTGTTCTTTTTCAGTTAATTTTTTTTAAATGTGATAACCATACTCAGGGACAAAAACATCAAAAGAGTACAATTACAATATCAGCTCTGACACAGAATTATATAAATCATGTAAATTCCTCAGCACTAAAATAGAAGAGTGAAATAAGATGAATCTTAAGGTCTTTTCTTTAAATTCTACACCCACAATATTTGCCAATACTGAAGATATGCACTACAAATTATAAAGACAATTCTAAAAAAAGAAGTTGTAAACACATCTTTCACATCTTTTCTATCGTAGTGTTCCCTCCTACATCATTCTAGCTCAAAGCCCCTTCTCTCTGTCCTGGATTTTTATAACAATCCTCAATTATAGTCTTCGATCGCTCCTTAATCCATTATATTGACCACACTGCCATTAGGAGAGTCTCCTATCATTTCCTTCAGTGGCACTTAGTCCAGCATTCACTGTACTCCACAATCTTGTCCCAGTTTATCTCACCCTTTTTAGCCCTTTCTTATATCAACTTCCATTTCAGCCAATCTGTCAGCACCTTTTTCTGCAACACATTACACAAACCATGGCTTCTTCACATTTTCTTATGTCGTCCCCCTACCTGAAATAGTCTGCCACTTTTCATTTTCCCTTTACTTTTCATGAATAAGTATAAACCTCACCTATACTGCAAAGCTTCTCTGACCACCTTCTTTAAATTCCAGGGGCACTTAGTCTGCGATACATCTTTGGCATCTAGCATATGTTTCCCTCCACTGGGCAGATTTAAGGCAAGAGAGGTTGATAGTGATACTTCTGCCTCATCTTCTGGCAGGTAAGCATCTCAACCTTAATATGGAATGAATATATGACCCATGGCCTCTAAAGGGGCCATATTTGACTTACAGTCTATTTAAAATCAAATAAAATAAGAGCTTATATTCAATTATTAGAAATTTTACAACATACCCATCCTACTCTAGCCAATGACATTTTTATAGCTATGTTCTAAATTTTAAAATCATTCTTCAAGTTTTGGTTAATGATTGCCCTTTAATAATAGGAATGACAAAGGGCAAAGATTTTAAAGTCATCAAAACATTTAATTACACAACTTTAATGACACAAAAAAATTCCAGAAAACAAAACTAAGAACACAGTTATAAACAACAATTAAACCTCTGATAGTACAGATATCACAACAAACTTAAATTTGACAAGGGAAAGACAGTCATTTTGTCTGGTTAGAACCTTTTAAACAAAATGGCACGTGTCTTCCTCCATCAGCCATGCAAAACACAACTTTTATATAAACCTCATGTGCTCTGCTAAGTGCCACCACCCCTTATCCTGACAAGGAATATTGCTGCTTTAATTCCAGAAACATTTTATTTCAACTACAAAGATTTTGGTTTTGCTTAGTAAAGACCACTGAAACTGGTCTTTACCCTTTTTATAAATGAAACTGAGATAATACACATACAAATCCAAATTTGCCACTTTCACTTCTACAGAGAGAGAGAGAGAGAGAGAGAGAGAGAGAGAGAGAGAGAGAGCCTCTTTAAAAGCCAAGAAATACTCTCCAAACCAGCCCTGGGATGAAGTGTTAGTAAACATTAGAAAATTGGTTGCAGGCATAAAATACCACGTTGAAACAAAGAAAATGTTTTCAATATGTCTCCCTAAAATGAAGTAAAAGTACTTTAACCAATATGCTGGAGATTTTCATTGATTTGAAATCATCTGAAACTAAAACTTCAATGAATAAAAATCTCTTCTTTAACTATTTTGGCACCTGAAGAGTTATACTTATTTCATGATATAAAGAAAAGTGGGGTGGGCAAAAAATTCACATTTGACAAATGTTATCTGTTAGGCAACTGTTGAAAGCCAATTTTGTTTTCTTTTCAACCAAAAAATAACATCTGAGTGAGCCTAAGTACTCACGTGCAGAGCCGAGGGGTCTGGCAGGAACTCAGCATCCTCTCCAAAGATAAAATCGGGGGGCAGCTCTGGGTATTGGGCATTGAAAATGATATCCCCTGAAATAAAAGAAAATGGAAGGCCTTTCTTATTTCCTTGTTAACATATGGATGTTCTGAAGAATGTACCAGAAAAACTTCCTAAAGAAATTTAAATGTATAAGACCAATACTTATGAAAGATTAATTCTTCAAATAAAAGAACTGGTATCTTCTTTTAAATTAACATTCATAACACACAATCAAAAAAGTTAAATACACTGTGAATATAAATACCCAAGTAAAAAAGTTGAAGCCGCCCCATCCAAAATACATGCTGATTCTTTTTATAGGAAACATTACTGTCCAATCAGTGCCTGCTAATTAAGAAGCTTTTACTGAAAAACTGATTTGGTATAAACATAGTCCATGCCTTACAAAAAATTAAACATTCATACCTTTGTATAATGGAAAGAATACTTGTCTTGGAATAAAATGAATGTAAATAAAACTCTTTTATCTATTAGCTCAGAGATCTTGGGCAAGTTTCAACTTCTTTAGACTTCAGTTTCCTCATCAGTGAAAGGGGAATACAATAGTACTGATATCACAAATTTGTTATGAGAAGAGAAGAGATATCTAGTTTATGTCTAGAATAAGTACTCAACAAGTGAAACAGGAGTACTAGTATGCTTGATAGCAGTAGTATTTTAAATGTAAGACTAATTTCAAACTCTAATTAGCAAATTTGTGTTCTCCTACCTCTTATTTCTTTCCTGTCTCCTTCTTTAACTCCTTTTTTCCCTTTATTCATCAGAAGATTCAGTCCTCATCATTTTGCTAAAACTAAGATTAGTTCATGGACAATTTAATACCCATTTGGGGTTTCAGTGTGTCAGGGTATATATATTTGTATAAGTGCACATAAACCTCTGAACACGTGCACACTACAGTTTATAAGTCCAATCATTTTTATTGTTCGAATGATAAATCTACATAATGATATCCAAATTTAAACATTCAGACTTCAGTTCTAATTTGAGCCCTTAAATCTCTATGTACTAGGCATTTCAATGTCAGACTCAGCGAGCATAAAAACGTGATTATGTCTGTCCCTGTTCCCACCCCTCTTCCTCTAGCCAACTACCCTCACCCTATTGCCAGGGAGAGCACTATTATTCCTTAATGACCCATGCTGAAACTTACACACACAACATCTATACACATACACACACACACATACACACACACAAATACACACCCACATACACACATATATATAAATAAAACAAGTTATCTCTTTACTCCCCCCCCCAAATGAGGATTTTTTTCCTATAAAGACTTAAACTTTGCTTCAGTACTTATGAAAGACACTAAAGATCAAAGAACCCTGCTATTAAAAAGCTGGCAAACTAAAAGAACTCAATCATATTCTCTTTAAATGGCATCCTAGTACTAGCTGCCCTCCAGCCTATAAGATACATTATCACCAAGTAAGTCTTCTTAAAGTATTATTTTATCCCAAAATTTCCTAACTCAGAACACTTCAATGATTCTCTAATGGCAAATGAAGTAAAGGCAAACTTCTCAACCTTTTTTTTTTTTTTTTTTTTTTTTGGTATCAGGGATTGAACTCAGGGGCACTTAACCACTGAGCCACATCCCCAGCCCTTTTAAATTTTTTATTTAGAGACACGGTCTGGCTGAGTTGCTTAGGGCCTTACTAAGTTGCTAAGACTGGCTATGAACTCACCATCCTCAGCCTCCCAAGTTGCTGGGATTACAGGTGTGCACCACCAAGCCTGGCTCAAACTTGTATTTAATACCTCCAAAATATGTTCCTATCTATTTATCCACCCTTCTCTCAATCAACAAACCATAACAAATCTTCTTTCCAGTTGGTAAGTTTCACTGAATGCCCTTCAAATGCTAAAACACCCAGGAGAAATGTTCTCTCCTCTTGCTCAGTTCTTACCATCCTTTATGAGCCAGCTCATATTACCTTCTCTTGCACAAAGCCTTCCCTAAGAAACCTGGAAAACACTGATCATTGTTACTTCTTGAATTCAATAAACAGTTTTATCATACCCCACTCAATTGAGTATTTGATTATAAATTCTCTTTTATTGTTTTACTGTTGAATTAATTTTTTAAATCATAATAAGCACAAGCTACATATGAGGAACTGTGATACACACTGTGTAAATACAAAGATACTTATTGCTCAAAGAGCTTATATTTAATGAGGAAAATAAAACATATACACAAAGACTGGGTGTATAGATCAGTTGGTAGAGTGCTTGTCTCATATGAACAAGGCCCTAGGTTCAATCCCCAGCACCACAAAAAAAACATACACAGCACTACAAGGTAAATACTTTTGTTTTCCTAAACATACTGTAACCATCCAAAAACCAAGCATTCTTACATTCATCTCACGTCTCTGAGAAAGCAAAGCAAAATACTTATAGATTATACTTAAAAACTGTTCAAAACATGAATGAAATTCATTCTTTGAATTGAATATCTAAATACTAAGAAAATCTAAAATAAAGAATAAAGAAAGCATGACATTAAAATAATTGAAATACTTGTTATTTGCCAGTCTCATGGTTTTCAACTTTTTATTTCTCAGACTAGTAACATTGTAATGAAAATCCTAAGGACCGCTAAAAAGAAGAAAGAAGGAAACAAAGAAGAAAGAAGAAAAAAGGATAGGAAGATTGCTCCCAGAGCATTCTGGAGCTTAGGAATAAGCTTAAGCAAAAAAATATACCCTATGGAAGTTAGGTGTAGAATTCAATTATCAAAAGTAGTACAAGCACCACCTCTCCTTCTACTACGATCATCTCAGATTGTCAACTCTAGCTATTATGAATGATAAGCACTAAGAATTATGGCATTCATATAAGCCATGGCTAAGAAGCACTAGCAGAGACAACATGAATGTCCTGATTACTCAATCTATTCAAACACACACAGCAAGTATGATTCTTTAAGAAAATCCATTTGACTTTTTTATCCATGAGATTCTTTAAAAATACATTTTTAAAATTCCTTCAGTTGATTTACTTTAGTTACTTTTAGAAAAAAACAGCAGAGGCATAAGAGTTTTGGAAAAACCAAACTGGAATCTATTGTGCCTTATGTTTAAAAAATAAATAACATGTTCCAGTAGAATTTTTATTACTTTAGTTACTTACCATAATAAGAGGATCAGAAGGTGGATTTTCAATTTCTCAAAACAACACTAGCAGTAATGACTATTTCCAGAGCAGTAAATATTAAAAATCTGATTCAAAGATATCCACTCTTGCCGAATCTATTCAGCATTATCAAAGACCCTAGCCAGAGCAAAAAAAAAAAAAAGCCTCCAGATTGGAAAGAAAAAGCAAAACTAACTCTATCCAGAGATGATATGGTCTTCCATATAAAAAAATCCTAATGAATTCACAAAAATACTTATAATAATAAACAGTTTCAGCAGGTTGCCAAACACAAGATAAATGTGCAAAAATTAAACTGCATTTCTTCTATACTATTAACAATCCAAAAAAGAAATTAAGAAACAATTTCACTTACAATAGCTTCAAAAGGAGCAAAGTACTTAGAAATAAATTTAACACAAGACATGTAAGACTTATACACTGAAAATTAGAAAACATTGTTGAAAGAAATTAAAGAAGATCAAATAATTGGGAAAGCACTTCACATTCATGTATCAAAATTCTTAATATTGCTCAGTGGCTACACTACCCAGATTCCATGCAATCCATATCAAAATCCTAGCTGGATTCTTTGCAGAAATTGAAAAGTCAATCCTAATAGTCACATGGAAATGCAAGGAATTCAATTAGCCAAAAGAACCCTGAAAAAGAAAGAATAAAATTCAAGGATTTTTACTTTACAATTTCAAAAGTTGTTACAAAGTCACAGCAATAAATACAGTGGGATAGCAGCATAAGGATAGACATAAAGATAAATGGAATAGAATTCATCTTCCATAAATAAATAAATCTCACTTATGGTTAATTGATATTTGACAAAGGTGCTAAAGAGTCTTTTCACTACTAGGATGGCTACTACTAACAAAAAGAAATGAAAAGAGAAAAAGAACCAATGTGGGTGAAGATGTAGAAAAACTGGAACCCCTAATGCAGGTATTGGTGGGAATGTTAAATGTTGTAGGTGCTTTGGAAAACAGAATGGTAGCTTCTTAAAAATTAAAAATAGAATTACCATATGATCCAGCAATTCTACTTCTGGCCATGGACCCCCCAAAAATGAAAAAGCAAGGTCTCAAAGAGATATTTGGACACAACAGCATGATTCATAGTACCCAAAAAGTGAAAGTAACCACAGTGTCCGATAGCAGATGAATGGATAAAAATATGTATTCTACACATACAATGGAATATTACTCAACCTTAAAGGAAGTTCTGCATATGCTACCATATAAAGGAACTTTGAAGACATTATGAAAAGTGAAATAAGTCAAAAAAGACAAATACTACATCATACCACTTACATGAGACATGGAGATAAAGTGGAGTGTCTTGGGAGGGAAGGATAGGGAGATTTTGTTCAATAGTACTGAATCAGTTTTGCCAGATGAAAAGAGTTCTGGGGATAGGTGCACAACAACGTGACTATACTTAACACTATTGAAATGTACATGTAAAACTTGTTAAGATGGTAAATTCTGTTATATATATTTTACATAATTAAAAATTTTATTTTTATAAAGCATCTTTTCAACAAATGGGTCTAGGGCAACTGGATAGCTACACACTTCGGTCCCAACTAGTCACACCATATACAAAACAAACTCAAAATGGATCAGCAAAATGTAACAGCAAAAACTACATTCATCTTTCAGGAAGCATAAGAGCAAATTTTCATAACTTTGGATGAGGCAATCATTTCTAAGATGGTTAATTTTAGGTGTCAACTTGACACCTAAATATCTAGAAATACCTAGAAAACTGCTAAAGCATTATTTTACCAGTGTATATGAGCATATTTTCAAAAGAGAGTGGCATGTGAGTCTGAGTGAACTAAGTGGGGAAGACCCACCAGGAC